AAAAAAAAAAAAAAAAAAAAAAAAAAAAAAAAAAGTGCTTAGCAATGCAGCTAAATGCATAATCAGGGACCAGGAACAATGCACTGTGCTGGTATTTCACTGCTGGCTTTCCTTTGGTACCTCCAGATCACAGCCCTCTCCAGCATCACCTTCGCAGTGAAAAAGACACAAACCCGACGGCTCAACGCTTGCAAGGCAGAGCAATGCTGCAGCCTCGTGTGCCCTTCGACTCACTCACTTTCCCTCGGCCAGGCCTCAAGCAGAGCAGTGATTGAAGAGAGGTGGAGGTAGGAGCGGGGTGCTGGGAAGCACGACGGATCTGGTAATTTCAGCGGTCATTAGTGGAGCTCATTGTGAGTTTGATAGATCTGTGCTGCTTTGTTACAGTTAAGTGGACTGATTGTGGAACACAGAAACGTTTTTAGTGACATGACAGCTAATTTAGTAAGGGGGGAGTGGTGGGAAAAGAACACGCATTATTCCATAATTATATCTTGCTCTGTTCCAGCCCCGTGACTGACTCCCCTGAGAACATAACTCTGGTTTCTCTGACACCCCGAACAAGAGCGAGATGTCAGGATTCTTCCTTTGGGCTGCTGCGTGGTGAGTCCCAACCTGCCTATGGTCTTTCATGTGCTACCCCACTCCTGTACCTGCTGAATGCCAGCACCAGTGCTGTTCAGCCAGCCATCACACTGCCTAAACAGCAGGAAGAAGAATCCTTCATACAGTGCAATAGATTTTGTTCTCACCTCTGTTGCATGTCAGACACTGCTCATTCTTCCACCCTTGGGGAGATGGGATTGTCCAAAGTGGGTTAGAGGAAGATTTGGGAGGGGAGAGAAATGAGCTATGTTATTTATACCTGGAGCATTCCTGCCAGACCTGTTTCCCTCCAGGAAACACTTTGAGTTGTTACCAAGTGGCAGAAATATATTTAATGGGTGATAAAAAGTCAGACTAGGGTATGTCATTAACTACAGACAGAAGTATCTCAGCGCAAGTTGGTGCTGAAGGTTATCATCCATGTCATTTACCTTGTACAGATGCTCTGAAGAAGATTTATGAACTCACTTTTTAGATAAAATGTGGGCCAAGCTGGGAGCCTTGTTTAGCAAAATGTTTACATATGTTCTTGGTATTTAGGTCCTATGGAAGTCAGGACATCAAGACCTTAATGGTGTTACAATAGAGAGGAGTAGAAAAAATGGGCAGAAATTATTATTTTTTTTAATCACGAGGCTCAAAATGCCTGAGCTGATTGCTGCTGTCAGGGATGGATCAGTGAAAGAACAGACAATGTTTCCACCCTCTCCCAGTCCTGGCTCCACCTATGCAGATAATTAAAGGCTAACAGAGCTGGATCCCAATACTGTAGAAGAAAAATATCACATCTTTTTAATTGACCGCCTGTAATATAAAGAGATCTAGGCATGGTTGGTGGGCAGTACAAGAGTTGCCTTCCATCTTTCTTCTTTCAGATCTCACAGTCTGCATTTCAGGAGAGAGAAGGAAAAATAATTGAAATGCAAAGCAGAAGGGTTGGGAGTTGGCAGGAAAGCCAGAGAGGCGGTCCTGTGAGCTCTGCATTGGGAAAAGTCCTCTAATGCAGCTGCTATAGTGGGCTATTTTTAATGTGCTCTGGCTGTATTTGCACTTTCAATTGCTGTCATTAGGAAAGAGATACCAACTCTTGTAATTATTACATCAACATGGTTCATTGGAGGTAGCCACCTCCCTGTTTTGAACACCTGCTGGATGCCTTGCCATGTTCTGGAAGTCAGGTGGATCTGCTCCAATGACTAGTCAGGTCGTGTTACTGGGACTTGTACATTCCTCCTGTATCTTCAGCTTTGGATGGAGACCTTTATGGCCCAAGGACCAAAGCAATTGAACAAGCCAGACTGAAGCCTCTTCAGGCAGGAGCTGAGGGATGTTTCTTGATCACATGGAACTTCTCTTTGCAAATCTGACCTTCATGTCAGCCTGTACCTGGCACAGATAATCTCTCCCAAGGGGAATGCTAAACTGAAGAAGATGGGCCTCTGTGTCCTGTGGGAGTCTCATAAAGAGGGAACTAAGAGAGCTCTGTCTCTGGAGATACACAGGGATCTGTGGTAAGAGTCCCCACTTTTGGGCACCCTTGGATAGAGGCAGACTGTAGAATGCTGTTTGACCTTCCTTTTTTGATGGATGCAGATCTTCAGAAAGGAAATATCAAACTAGGGGTTGTCTAGATTTAACAGCCAACATGAAGACTCCTTGGCAAACTTAGGAGGTGCAATTTCTTGCAGTTATGGGTTTCACAAGAATTGTAGATTTTTAAAGAAAGGGAGAAAAACATCTCTCTAGAAAGACATAGGTTAATCCCAACTTGAAGTGGAGGGGATTTTAACAAGTTCTTTCCTATTTCTTCTTCAGATTAGAAAAAAAATTAATAAATTCTCTTCTTGTCAATGATAGCCTATTTTCATCTTCATGGGCAGATAAAAAGTTTTCAGGCCTCAGTTGCTTCCTTTTACAGCAAAGCATGAATTATATTATTAAGAAAAATACTCAGAAAATAGAAATATTTGGCCAACTCTGTTAAGCTTTAATTAAAATTAATATTACACCCTACTGGAGCCAGAAATCTGAAGCATCACATGTAACTGAATATATTTAACCAATTAACTAAGTCAAACAAGGCTGTCTAAACTTAATCACAGATCTCTCCATTCCCCTATTACGTCAAGTGCTGCTAATGCTGTTATACTTTTGACAAGTGGCCCCTGGTCACTGAGCAAATCAATAATGTATTTGAGCTAGAGAAGAGAGGAGGAAGGAGCTGAGCACATTTGCATTCCTGTAGTGCTTTTAGTTGATGATCTCGAAGAGCTATGTGAACTTCCAATCTGTTAAACTTCCAGCAGTGTGGGGAAACAGAACCGGGTAGTCAAATTCCTCACCTTTGCAGGTGACCCAACAGGATGTAGGGAATAAGTTCTAGAACAGGGCTTCAGGCACAGGTCACAAGGCCCTCCTATGCAAGAATGTTGGTTTATGGCAAACCTCTTGTTGCCTGTGCTCCCCATAAGACACACCTGTCCTAGTTCCCACCTTACTTGTGACTCCCATGGGGCACTGAGCTCCATTTCCTTCCACGGAGTTGTGTTCTCTGCAACTTCAGCACTGAAGTCTATCTCCAAGGTTGCTTGGACCAAACTTTGTCTGCTTTGGACTCATCTACACGATCATCCTGTCATTGTCTTATAGTTCCATAGTTCTTTTGTACTTGTGACCCTTTCCCAAGCACTTTCCAAGCTCTCTGTTGTGTAGGATGTGTTATGATCCACTCAGGCTGACATAAAGGTGCAATACAACTTGGTTGTACTGGTCTCTCTTGGTAGAGAATAAAGCCTTCCAAAAATTTTGAGACTAGTGAAGTTTTAAATCTCTGAAAGAATTAACATTTAATTTTAGAGTGCTCTGCAATAACAGTTGATCTCTTTGCTGGTTGCCTACTACTGATATTCATCCTGAATTTTCTGATTATTAGAACAGAAGTGTAGGGATATATTTATAATATCCCTTGTACAATAAATAGAATAAGTATTTATACAGTGACAAGACTTGACTGTTTATCCTGAAATTTGAAAGACCTTTCCAAACACTAAAGCAATAACTCAGGTGTGCAGAGCAAACATTTTAGACCCACTGTAAAGGAGGAAATTGAGACCATGAAAAATCCATGTGTGATTTGCCTGATGTGACATGTTGGATGTGGGGCTGAACTGAGCAAAAAGCTTGTGGGATTCTTTCTCTAAGTCCTAGATACTTTTCCTGTAAATTTTAAAAAAAAATTTACTCCTCCTTCTCATGGGAGAAATACATCTACAAAATGGTTTTCCGATAATGGGCCACTTGGTTTCATCACACTCTGATTAACAGATCTTTACATCTCCAGAGAGGAATGGACTGGTGACAGTGATGCTACTTCACCTCTTCTGAACGCAGGAGCTCAGTTCCGTGTTTGGCAGCTCTAGGATGAACCAGTGGAGTTTCCTTGACCTCAATGGGGATCAATTCCGTTTGGAGCTTGTAGCAACTGATGTCCAAGGGAGCCCAAGTCCCACCCATCACATGGCAACAGGAAGGTAAAGAGTGACAGTTGTGCTCAAAGTGAACAGATAGTTAGAGGAATGAAAGGCAAAGATGACTCATCTCCCAGAAAGCAGTGTAGTCAAAGGAAGAAAGTTACTATAATGGTAGATAAAACCGTTATACATGAAAGGAAACTTCTGGCTACGCTGATGCTGTGAAGTTGTGTTTAGAGGCTTGAAGGTATGGAAAGGGGGTAGAAATTACTAATAAGAAAAGAAAGATGAGGGGATTTCTATTATTAAAAAGGAAAGAGGCTCTGAGTGGAAGTGGAAAGACTGGTGAAGGCAAGCACTCCATGAGTTCTTGAATTTTCGGGGTAGGGAGTTGGAGCAACTTTGTCACAGCGCCGAAAATCCCAGAGTCCCTTGGGCAACACCTTTTGTGCTCTGCCTCTGCAGGGAGTTGGGTTTATGAGATAATGATGTTATTTCAGCACAAACTCTTTCATTCTCGCAGTGAATTAAAAGAAGAAAAAGAAAAAGGGGGAGGGGACAGGCTGTGGGGGAGAAACCAATGTTATTTACTCCTCTGCAACTGACATTAAAGGCTCCTTTAAGGGCCAGTGGGTTATTAACATCCTGTCGCCTGCCACAATGATATGCTGTGACATATTGTCACTGCATTCCAGCGAAGCCTTAAACATTAATTGGGAAGTAAGATGAGTGAAGCGGCTTTAATGAGATACCTTGTTGTAACTTCTAACTTTACACATTATTTACAGTGATTCCGCTAATGGTTCCATCCATCAGGGAGAGAGATTGGGGAGGAGAGCAGGGGAAGCAGGGGGTGAAGAAAAAAAAGATAGGTATCAGAAGTGGAATGAGAAAGGCTGAGAGCAAGGTGGGAGGTGTGGAACAGAGGGAGAAGCACCGTCCCTGGGGTGTTCATCCCCCAGCTTTACATTCCTTCTGTCATTTTTCATCATACAGCCATTTTTGCAGCAAGAAGACAGGGAGGGAGGTTATTCCCGAATACAGTCCCACCAATCAGCCTGGTTCTGAGCCCTCAGTGTTGCTATCTAGACCCATTACTAGTGCCAAAGCAACCTGTCACAGCCTCTTAAACTGCCCTAGGTTCCATCCCATGACATGGATATGCCAGGTGAGCCCAGACCAATGTGACATCCCACTGCCCCTTCACAGCAGGAAGGAGGCACAAGAGGTTTGCAAAGCAGATACACTGTCCACCTGCCCAGGTGACAGGTAGAGCTACCACGCAGTAGGGATTGTGGCAAATACAGATTTAGAAGGGAAGATGTGAGTAGACTGCACTCTACCTGCAGGTTCTGCCTGGTGTGATATCCAAATTTGCAGTTAGTTGGTAGAACAGGAGTTCCATGGCAGCACAGCCCACCCCATCAGCTCTGCCCACCTCTGTAAGACCAGCATGGCCCTGAGATCAATTGGACAGCAGTGATTGCCACCGTCTGTGCTCTAAATTGTAGCCCTAAGCCTACAGCATGAAGAATGCTGCACTGGCAGCCCCAGAGCTGCAGACCTCTGGGAAGGGCTGTGAGACCAGGTTAGATCCTATTACCGTGATGTTTGTCCTTCTCTCAGCACCAGGGTCAAAGCTGAGCAAATGAATCCAGTTTCCATGTTCCCTTTATCCCTTAGAAGAGTCAGCTGGGTTTGTGAATTGGCTGTGTAGAAGGGAGAAGGATTTGGCCCTGTTTGAATTAGGAGCAAAATAAAAAATCCTGGAGCAAGAGAAGATCATAATTATAATAATATGGCCTGGCAGAAAAGTGCCCAGAGCACCAGGCATGTCATTCCTAGCTGGAAGGCATTTGCCCTGGATTACAGACTACATGGCTTCAGGATGCTCCGTGTGCTGGCAGGTTTATGCTCCCTGTTCTGTTTTCCATTAAATTATTTCTATCCTTGTGAAACAGCAAAGCCCCACAGAAGCACATGCAATCACAGCTAATGGATTCCAGTTTTATTTCTAGATTTAAAGTATACTCCTTTTTGGGCTGAAATGGAGCAGGCAAAGAGACAATTAATTGCAAGTATGGGTGTATAAAAAGCACCTGGGGATAGATCAGCTGGGGGAAACACACGGAGCTCAACTGCACATGCGTGTGCTGACAGCCCCCTTTCCTATGAAAATTTGAAATTCTGAACTCCACTCCCTGCTACCTGTCAGGGTTGGCGTGCCTTTAATTATAATGTCTGCATGCTTCTTTAGGCACCATTTAATTCTCTCTGACAGCCACCCATTTAAAAAGAAAGGCAAACACTCAGAACTTAGTGGCAGATCGGAGCCAGGCGAGGGATGTGCTAATTGCCAGATGTTGTTCATTTGACTCTGATCCATTACCAAAATTAAAGAAGAAAGAAATGGAAATAGGAAAAAGAAAAAAAAATCCCACCCCGCCTCCTTACATAGCTGTCTGTAGGTCGGAGTCACTGCTGTTAGCTAACTTTCTCCAACAGAGCACACTGAGGTGTTTCTGCGTTATCAGCCTCACAGGCCAAGTCACTTTATGCAATGGACTGCGGAGCATCTCTCCTGGGGTCTGGTGTTCAGCAGCTTCCAGGCTAGCAAGGAAATATTTCCCCACAGTGCAACCATCTGTAGTCTCTCTCTGACATTTCCAGTAGCTAATCTGCTTTATCAGAGATGAAAAATTTCCATAGCTGGTGGCTCAAGAGAACAGAAGTCAGAAACTCAGCCGAGATTTAAAGTAACTCTTGACTTGGATGGTTACTAACACCCGGGGCATCTCTTGCACTACTTACTTGGGGAAAGAGGATTGCTTTGTGCCAAGGTAAGGGAAACAAGGTCAAGTATGAAGATCAGAAAGGTTGTGGATGCCCATCCCTGGCAGGTTGGATGGGCCCCTGGTCAACCTATCTGGTGCCTGATTTAGTAATTGGCAACCTTCCCCAAAGCTAGAGGGTTGCAACTTGGTGATCTTTGAGGCCCCTTCCAACCCAAGTGATTCTATGATTCTAAGACTGCTCCTAAAGCCCATCTGAAATGGATTTGGGCATCGCCTAGTAGGTTCCCTAATACATTTTGCCTCTGTTAATCCCAAGGGGAGTTTCATTTATTCACCAGTGATTCCTAGCGACCCAGAAATAAACCAGGAAGAGGTCCCTGCAGGATAGAATGTGGCCTACTGCAGGAAAGAATGCACAACTTTATTTTGAGCCACCTTCCTTGCCTCCAAGGCAAGGTTTTCCTGATACATTTGAAGAATTACATATGTGCCTAAAATATGCAATTAAGCTCATGGCTCACATATATTCATTGAGCCCAAAAGAGACCAGAGCATCTATAAATATTGAAGCTTTCTCTTTTTTTTTTTTTTTTTTTTTTTTTGGAATTACTCATTCCTTTATAACTAAAAAGTAGGACAGATGAGCTGTGAAGGAGGTAACAAGGCAAAATTAGTTTTCTGTCATTTGTGGCTGCTCTAATCCACATGAAAAAGGTTCTGAACAGCAGTGTTTAGGTCCTCCTCCCTCAGTGGGGTAAATGCTGGGAATCATTAAACAGGCAACCTGGCTGTGCCTAAATCCTTCATCTGTCACAGGGATTTGTTTTAGAAAGCTCTACTCTTGCATGAGATATATTTGGATTTGGAACACAAAGAGTATCTTCATTTAATAGCTCGCCATTCTTATCAAGTTGGCCTTCCTTGGGGCTGTACTTTTAGTTCTCTGGGAGTTTATTCTCATAACAGGCTCATCTATCCCTTTGTCAGATATTCTTTTAAAATGGCCCCTGTGTAATAAATTGGCTTAGTTCGGGAAAATTCCTTCCCTTAACTGGTCCGTATGGACAAGCAAAACCCACTATTAACTGCATAGCAATAATGTTTTACAAGGACATTTCTGGCTTTCTACCCGCTAAACATACAGTTTAATTTTGACAATATTTTTAAACAGGCTGTAGGGTGTCTCGTCCACACTTTGCTGAAGAGGTCAGCTACCTTGTACGTGGCTCCATTTGCAGCCCTCTCACATTTTTGATCTTCAAACACGATGTATGAACAACCTGAACGGCGGGGTCCCCATGGTGGGCAGTACCCTGATGACAAGAAATCATGCTGCCAGGCTGTACTGCCTACATGGGATGGAGCTCACCAACATGGCACCACTCTGCTTTGGGACCCAACAAATTGGAAGCATTTGGTTAGAGGACTTCAACTGCAGGGGCCCAAAGGGAATTGCAGCGCTGTGTTGCAAATACTGCCCGGAGAAGCACTGCTTATACATGGGACAGGTGATAGCTTGTCACTTGCCTGGTGCAGGACTGACTCCAGTATGTTTGTTTCTTTAGCATCAAAGCATCAGTGGCAGGTTTCTCTCCACCGTCTTGCTCTGCAGATGTGATACCACTTGTTTCCCTTTTCACCAAAAGTCCAGAGTTAACTTGAGGGCTCTCAACTTGAGGATGGGCATCATTTGGCAAACAGGCTGCAGTAGTCAGCCAAAATGTTCCCTACATGAGCTGTAGATGAAATGCAGCATGAGCAGAAGGGAGAGGGGCAACGGTATTATCTTTTCTCCCTAATAAGGAGCGATACAGGCAGAGAATACAGTATACAGTTCACTTAACTAATTTTCTAACCAGCAGTCACTGCAATGTTCTCTCTAGGATTAGAGAGGACAAGGGAAGAAGCAGAATAATAAATCCAGACTGGCTTTTTGCAAGCTGCAATCATATCATTATAGAAAGGAGTTTAAGGACATCCACTGTGGGGAGAAAAAATTAAGAACAGAGGCCATTTCAGCTCACCCTTGGCAGCACAATTAATTAAAATTAAATTCAAGGAAAAATAAGTTTAATATGCCATCTGAATAATATCTCCTATCTAAACAGTGTTCTCAGGCTATCTGCACGAGTTAGGTGATTTGGATGGGAAGATGCCTCATCTTGGGTTGTAATGGATCTATTTCCCACCTGCCACTGCTACCTGGACATCAGCCCTCTGCTGCAGCCCGCACCCTTCTCTTATCCCAATAGGAAATGTAATGGGTGGTGAAGAACAGGCGTGGAGGGGAGGCTGGCACAGCTGCACCCAAAATGGCTCTTGAGACAGCCATTGGCTTTGGCCAGCTCTGCCTCTTTCTGCCCACAAAGGGTCACGAGCCCTTCTGAGGTGGGTCTGTGGTCACCAGGCATCACCCAACTCTTGGGAAACTGTGGATCACTGTTCAAAAGAAGGGAGTTTTAATTCATTTCTGTGCTTCTCATTCCAACAAGGCTCCCAAAGGAGAGCCCAAATGGACCAGCCTGCAATGTATCCTTATTAAATTAGATAGCACTTACTGCCCAGGCCACAGCCCTAAGGACAGAGAATTACATGAGTTTTCCATCTCTCACATCTCGTTATAATCGATGGACAAAAAATAAAATGCCAATAGGGGAAGAAGGTTAAGTCCCTTGAGGCAAATCCCCATCTTGCAGCACTGGGTTGCCATTGGTTGCTTAGAGCAGCTCCAGCTTTTATCTGTCTCCCAGTCCCTGGCAGACGAGCGGTGTCAACTCTTTGAAAATAAACCTGAGTGAGTAAGTCTCTATCTCCCACAAATCAACATTACTCTGCTGACCATATCAGGTCCAGTTTCCTCTTGCTTCAGTTTTCAGGCATCTGAGAGTGCTTTGCTGCTGCAGTGCACAATAGGTGGGATTGCTGTTTTTAATCACCAGAACAGAGCTTTGCCACTTGCGTATCTCCCACCACCAGTTTACTATGTAATTGCATAATTATTTAGCAATGTCAAAAGTGCATCTAGATTGCAGGAGACGAAGCTGTGAGTGTCTTTGAAGAGATGCTCAGGAAGGGCTTGCTATGATACAGATACACCTGCAGGCATGGAGGAGATGGGGAAGCTTTTCTTTCAGGCTGGGTCTCCAGAGGCTCTTTATAGCCAAGAAAATGCAGTGGCATTATTAAAAATGATAATTGTGTCATGCAAAATGAAATGGCAGGTGGTAAGCAGAGTTTGGGGTGGAACAGAACAGATATGGATTGTTTTACTGCAGCTTATGGATATTACGGCAGCGCCTGCAGGGACTGATCCCAAAATTAGTTGGCATCTTCTCTATGATTCAGAGGAAGCTTGATCAGGCCTCTTAAAGTCAGGAAGATGCTGAGTTCACAGCACTGGGGCTGAACTCAATTTACAGTAATGTGCAGGAGATCAGCCTGAGATCTGCTGGGTGGGAGTGCCCAGACATGTCTGCCTGTATGATCCTTCTGGACACAGAAAACAAAACATTGGCATTAATGTTCCTCCATCTGTATTTGAGGTGATCAGATATACCTCTTGATTTTCAGCTTTGCATGATGCCTGGCAGTGCATCCCTCCAAAAGGAAGTGGGAAGATTAAAGAAAGACATTGAGGCCCTGGAGTGTGCCCAGAGAGGGGCAACGAAGCTGTGAATAGTCTGGAGCACAGGTCTTGTGGAGAGTGGCAGAGGGAATTGGTGTTGTTCAGTCTGGAGAATAAGAAGCTCAGGGGAGACCTTATTGCTCTCTACAATGCCCTGAAAGGAGGCTGTGGTGAGGTGGGTGTCAACCTCTTCTCCTGGCTAACAGTGACAGGATGAGAAGAGATGGCCTCAGGTTGCACCAGAGGAGGTTCAGGTTGGGTATTAGGAAAAAGTTCTCTGAAAGAGTGGTGATGCACTGGCACTGCTGCACAGGGAGTGGTGGAGTCGCCATCCCTGGAGGTGTTCAGGAGCCGTGGAGATGTTGCACTGAGGGATGTGGTCAGCAGGCATGGTGGGGGTGGGTTGGGTTTGGGCTGGATGATCCTAGAGATCTTTTCCAGCCTTTATGATTCTGTGATTCTACGATCCCCAGTGCCTTCAGCTCCCCTCAAGCACTCTGGGTTGGTTTGTTGAGGTGCTGCGAGCAGCTCAACTGCTTTTAAAGCCACTTAATAAAGCTAAGCAGAAAATCTAAAATGAGTTAAAGGAAACTAATGTGAATCTCAATTTTTAAAATTCATAACATTTATCAGTGTCTGCATGAGGCAGCACAACAGAAGTAAACATCGACTCCCATTGACTCTGCTGGCACTGCTGACAGCAGAATCAGTCCCTCTCCCTGTCACTGAGCTGCTGTCTCTGGGCATGTTAGATGGATGTCTGTGCTACCTCAGCCAGGAGCTTTTCTCTTGTAAGGGGCAAAGATCCTCAGCAGTCTGAATGAGCAGGACAGAGGCACGTCCTGGTGCTCTGGGACGGAGCATTTGCTGGAGCTCTTTTACATGCTGTTCATCTCTGACATTCCCTGCTAGCTGCTAGAGTCCTGAACCTGCCAGAAGGGGAGGGATAATCACCTCTGTGCTGAGTCCTTCCTCCAAAGCAAAACGTTTCTAAAATCAGCAGTGTTAAGATGCCATTTCTGTCTGAGACGTGTTTCGGAACGGTGGTAAGGGTCAGAGAAATGATGCTGAAAATAACACCTTGTTATTGCACTGCATTGTTTGCAGGAAAATTTCCCTCTGAGTTGTATCTGGTGGGGTGTCTGACAAAAATACAGCAGCCCTAAGTGGTCAGCAGGCAAGGACCTGCCAGGAGCTCACGCTGGTGGGACGCCTTGTTGCTTGGTCCTGGACACCCAGCTGGGGTTCTTAGGCATCTGATCCCATGGGTAGGCTGCCAGAGGATGAGGGTGGGTTGGGAGATGTCTCAGCATGGGGATGGGGGGCCTGGCAAGAGGATCCCCCTTCTGGGGGGGATCCCCCCTTCAAGGACCCTTGTGCTTTGCCTCCAATCATCCCCTAAAAATACTCTGCTGAATATTTGTTTTCTGAGCCCTTTTTCTCTGTAACATCCATCAGACTGCTGTCTTTTCATTCCTTCCTTCTCTTACAAAGTCTTCACTCCAATTCGCTCCTCCAGATGAGACCAAAAGCTGCTAGCATTTATCACTGTCACCACAGTATCCCTTTCTTCTGTTTGCTGACACTTCACCCACCGATCCCAATTACTGTCTGTCTTTCCTTCCATTCATACAAATCCCCCATGTAACTTTGGATCATCAATTTCCAGCAAATGGGCTGTTTGCAAGTGCCGTCCCTGCCTCACCCCTGGCTGAATGGTTGCCTCTGACACACAGCACCCCAACTGCTCCCAGGGCAGATGAATGAAACTTTGTCAGAGAGCACTGAATGAAGAAGAAAGAGCTCATTTCCCTCCCCAGATTCCTCCTGAATTCACGGGAGCTGAACAAATAGTATCAGAAAGTGTATCAGGTGAGTCCCAGATCCAGCACAAATTAAGCGCTGTCTGTAAGTGTAGAGCAATCATAGTGAAGCCCAAATTGTCAGAGGAAATGTGAACCTTGAGAAGGGATGCATGACACACATTTATGTGACTAGGCTTATCAGACTATCCACAGGCTGAAGAGAGTCTGCAGTGCAATCACCAAATCGTAGAATCATGGAATCGTAGACCAGTAAGATCACCAAGTCCAACCATCAACCCATCACAGCCATGCCCACTAGCCATGTCCTTCACATCCTTCTTGAGCTTAAAGTCATGCTCTTATTTTACTACTTGGAGCCCCAGGATGGTCTCTCCCCCCACCAGCTCTGCACCCCCAGCTTATGGGACTGATGAAAAGTGAGGAGGCAGAAATTTGGCTGGGATCCCCTCATTACAACCCTGACAGTAGGCACATTAGGATGCTACTAATAATCCGTCAGCTTCTTAGCATATGATAGCTGCCTCCTAAAATATTAATCAAATCATAACATGTGATCCTAAAAATAGGCTTTCCGATTCCACTCTGCTCTCTCCTTAAGGTTCCTTGGGTGGTTTGAAGTTGTGCTTTAACCTTTTCTGGCATTTCACTGATTATAACAACTACTTTTCCAGAGAACTGCAAAACCTGGTGCCCTTTGCCAGCATGTACACACACACACACACACACACACACATGTACACCTACACACAGCACTTTGCTTTCTCATTGTTTTGGTGCAAGGATCTCTTTGCCAGTATGCAAATATATTAATCCACCCAAGGAGATCAGAGGAATTTATTCTAAAATGCAGTGCTGCATAATCCCAGTACCCCTTTAGCTCTTCCCACTGCCTCGTCTTCTCCCATGCCCTCCAGGACAAGAGAGAAGACAGAAGCACATGGGCAGATTTTGGGGAAGTTGATGAGCATCCGCTCCCATCACAGGTCTGTGAGCACCCTGACTTCATTGCCTCCTTCTGCTGCCGCAATGCTAATGGATGAAGTTCTATAAATATTTGATTGACCTGTCACTGCCATGCTGCTCTCATTTATCACTTGCTCAAGTCGGATCTGAATTACTTTGGAATATTTTGTGCTGTCTTTACATAGTGTTCAATTCTTTCCCTGTCTCCCCCACCAGCTCCAGCCCAGGAGTGAGCAGCTCCCAAAAATGCTGAGGAAATGGAGCTGAAAGCCTGGGGCAATGGGGCAGAGAAGGTGAATCTAAGGAGATGCAGAAATGAACCAGACAGGGCAGGGAAATGTACGGAGAACCCACCCAAGCCGGTATGTGAGGGAGTGCATACCACAGCATATGAGATCAACAGCCCCTTTCTGCAATTTCCATAGTGCTGAGTCCCAGAAGAGGGTTACAGATTTACAAGGAATTCAGGTAATTTGCTCGTCATGTTACCCATAGGAAGTGAGTAATTGTCCTGTGCTCACTGCTCTAATCAGAGCCTGGGTATTTTAGTAGCGAGGGCTCTGGAATATATTAGGAGATGCAGTCCATACAATCAAATTCTATTGTGTTCATTTTCACTCCTGTCTTCTCTAGATTTTTACATTCAGGATGAAATCAGCAAATTTTAGAGCTTGCCGAGATTGAAACGATGGTGTTTAGCAATGCAGCCACGAGCACGCAGAGCCCAGCACTTTGCTTTGCTCCCAGTAATGAGTCCCCCCGGGGGGTCACAGCCCCCACTGCATGGGGCTGCCCAAAGCCCTTTGCCTTGTGGTAAATCTGCTAACCCCACTCCAATCCCTGCTGAAAACACCTCCAGCTGTCTCCATGGGCATTTACACAGTCAGTCCAACCCCATCATCTTACCCATGAGTGCCACATAGCCTTTCACTGTACACCTAGCCTGCAAAACCCCAGGCTGAACCAGCTCTTGTGGCGTCGTCGGCATCCAAATCCCATGGGATGGACTGCCCTCTGCGCAGATAAATCCTTTTCTCAGTTCTCAAAAAACAAAAGCCTGACACATCGAGCAATTTCTATCATTCCAACGACCCCTCTCATTAGCTCTCTCCTTCTGCCTCCTCCCTTCCTCATGTCAGCAATATGCCGATCCATCCTGCTTATACCAGCTCTTACCTATACTCCAATTACTTTTTCATCTCCCCCACCGGCTGTTTTCAATACTATTATCTGCTGCACTTGCTGGATCTGGCTTCCAGGCGTTTGACTGATGCCTGATTCCTGTAACCAGAACATGTCTGTTGATTGGACTGTCAATGGATTTCTTGGCAGAAAGGGCATTGGGCCTTGCAAATGTGAAACTGTATTTCAATCTCATTTAGAAGGAAAGAGAAAGGAGAAGGAAAAATATCCTAAAGCCACATTTTTTCCTTGCTCTCTTTGAACAAGTGCTTTAAGTAAACAAGTGTTTTTGCCTTTTTTAATAAGGTCATCCATGACATCACTTTCTTATCAGAAAAGGAACATTTTGTGTCGTGTATTTCTAGCACTGGAATGCCCATCTTGACTTTACAGCAAACAGTTTCTACTGATTCATCTCTGGGGAGGAAAAGGAAGTGGGAAGGAGATGCACATCCATCCCTGTCTCCTGGCTGCCTGCAGTGACACCTTGCTGTAACAGAGAGCGCCAAGCCACCTTCTGACCATCCCTCTGCATGCCTGCTCACAGCCAGAGCCTCTCTGCAAGAATGCACCTTTGACTTTCCTAAATAACAATGCAATTACCTTCAAAAGCTGGCAGCCAAAGTACGTGCTGAGAAATGGCTACCATTAAGAAGAAATTATCCGCTCTCAGGGAACGGCCGATTTGTTAACTCGTGAAGGAGGAGAACGAGCCCAGCTCCAGACTATGTAGGCGTTGAGGTTGAGAATGAGGTGGGAGAGCTGCTGTTTTCAACCAGCCTGGGCACAGAGCTGGAGAAAGCCCATGAGGTTTGAAAGAAGAGCCCTGGATGAATTGGATCAAATGTGTTTTGCTGCTGTCTTGTACAGGTGCAGATCAACAGTACATGCTAGGCAGTCCTCCTCCATGGATGGGGCAGGTGTCTCAGGGTCATGCCCTCCATGATTCTTCAGGAGTTGGACACAATGACCCTTCTGGGTCCCCTCCAACTCAAGACATTCTATGATTCTACATGAAGGCATTTCATGGGGAACCTCCAAAGAAGTTCCATTATTGAGACCTGCACTCAAATGCATCCAACCTTGTCACTTGCCTGTGACTAAAAGAAGGTGCCAGTATTACTCTTATCTCCTGATCTTGCAAAAGCCCCTGAGGTCTGGGGCTGGGTTTGAAAAACAAAGTAAAAGCAGGGGAAGGCAATTTTTGAAACAGGAAGGAGTGAGGCATAAATAGATTATTTGAGGTTAGCTTCCATCAGTCTGTACATTTAGGGCTGGACAGGTGACTTCTCACACACTATATATATCTTCCTACTCAATTCTCAAGGGCCTTTCAATGCAGAAAGACAAGATAACTGTGATATATGCAGAAAGATTTAGATTCTCTTTAACATCAGAGGCAATCTTTGATATTGCACCAAGCTACAGAGTGAAGCATTCCTATCTGAATGCAACCCCCAGAAGCCCACCAGGGAGTTATCTTGGAACGCAGCTGAAATCACTGGTGCTGACTTGACTATGTCTGAAAATATTAGCATGTTCAAACTCGGAGGCTTGCTTGAGACATTTCTGGAAGATAAAAACAACCCTCAATGACTTGGAAACAGATCTGGTGGGCTTGCAGTGCTAAATAAATAGCAACAGAACTGGGAAACTTTGAAGATGACAAGATTTTCTAGGTCACGTTGTCTATTTTCCCCCTTGGCCAATGCAGGGTGTTTTGTAGAGTGTAGCCTTGAGACCTCCTTCCAAACCAGCCTTAAATGTTACAAGCTATGCATTTTGACAACTGCTAAGCTGATATGCACAGGCATTGTCTTTGTAGGTGCTGAAGCTGTTAGTGCATAGCTGTTAATCTAGGCAAGTACATTTTGAATATTTATTACCTTTTAAAGAGGAATGAGCTTGGGAAAAAAGAGTCTGGAAGCAGATTGGGCAGAAAGCCCTACATGAAAAGGGACAGACAACTACTTTCTTCTTCCTGAGCAGCACTGACCACACATTGCTGCTGTTCTTCTTCTCTTCTCATGTCTTCTGGATTATGGCTGAGTGACATGGGTTAAAGGGCATGTTGGTGATGGGTTAATAGTTGGAATTGATTTTATGGTCTTTTCCAGCCTTTATGATTCTATGTGGAAGATGGCATGGACATAGTGCCCCATCAATGCTTCCTGGGGGAAAAACTGGAAAAGCACTGGAAAAATGGGCCAAGCTGGGCTTTGCTGCCTGAAAACCAGAGCAGAACCAGGCCTGCTGAGGGAAATAGGGGAAGGAAAGTGTTGAAAATGGGGATCAGAACATGGTGATGGAATCTGTGGATAGTCATGGTCTTTTGTCCTTGTTCAGAGAATAAAGCTTGTTTCCTATCTCTCTCCAGATTCTTCCAGCAAAGAGACTGTACAATCACAGGCAGCTGCACTGAGGAAAATATAGATGCGATAGTAAACACAGACTTGGAGGAGCATCTCATGTCTCCTTCAGGTCAAGCAGTGGTCTTGAAAGATTACCCAGCACATAGAGAATTCAGAAGGAGCAAGGTGAGCAAATCTACCAGTGGAATGCCTGCTCCTATGGAGGCACACCAGTCAGGTGAGATGATCTTTCAGCTCAAAATAATATTCTGGGCTCATTTTACAGCTGTTTATATCCAAAGCCAGAACTGTATTTCCCATCCAAAGAGCTCCAGCTGCAGACATATCCAGGGGAGCATCAGCCTTTTCTGCAGCAGTGGTTGTTGGTACCACCTCACTGTGCTGCCGATGTCCACCATGCAGTGTGCCACTGCATGGTGCCAGAGAGAAGCACGATTAAGGGAAGGCTGGCAGAAAGGAGAGAGAATGTATAGCATAGAAGCCTGGAAAGCAGCAGCATCAGCAGGCCAAGAGGAGGTTATTCCCATGATACATCCCTATTTCCCCCTCCCCATCATGTCAGCAGCCTCTTTAGCTTCACACAGAGGTTGTGAGGATTCATTAGTTAATGTTTGTAAAGCACTATATGGATGGAGAGAGCTATGTAAGTGCTAAGTATTATTATTATTGCAGAGAGTCGCTGTTAAGGCAATGGATATGCTCTTAAGTGTCATTTCGTATTTAATTAACGTGCAATAATTGTCTTCCAAAACCTGGAGGTAAATCTTTATTCTTGACACTTCTTTTAAAGAGACATTGCAGCAGAGCTGCCGGTAATGGGCCTTCTCTCTGGCATAGGAGGAACAGGATGAGCTGGGAGCTGGAAGGAGAGGAAAGGGAGGTCAATGAAGGACTTTTTTCTTCTTCACAATTCCACAAACATGCTACAGATCCATGCTGAGTTTGGATTTTGACCACTGAGCTGCCCCAAGGGATGCTGACCTGATGAGGGGTCTGCAGCCTTCCGCTTGGGCTTTCCCTGTGCCAGGTATCGACTGAGCTCTGCCTGTCTCAGTAACTGAACCCAGCTGTAGCTGTGCACCTTGCCTCTGTGAGTAGAATAAAAGAACTAAAAAAGCAGGATGGAGAAGCATGATATCACAGTACTGGGAATTTCCCTGCTATTTTTCAGGAACATCTTTGCCAAGAAGTGGTATTCTCAGAGCTAGGTTGCGTGTCTTCTACTGACAGAGGGAAGCAAGGAGAAATCAGCTGTGGGGCCATCTGCTCCTTGAGCAAATGGGAAGGGGAAGCCACCTCTCCCACCTCCTCGTGATGTTTGCATTTCCGAGAGAGACCAGAGAAGTAAAAAAAGAAGCAGTCCATCATTAACTCAGAAATAGCCTGCCTACAGGAGCTGCAGAAGGATGCTGGGCCCTTTGTGCCTGTCTTTTGTTTACCCAAGTGTGTAATTTCTCACTGGTTTGTTGACAAATCAGTGCCCTCTATGGGCCCTTGGCTGGCATCTCTCTGAGGAGCCCAAAGGGTGGGGTTGGGAAGAGCAGGATGCTCCAAGGGAGCTGCAGTGGTGCCAGTCCCCTTGTCCTCACCATCTTAAAGAGGCAGCCCCCCTACCCACATCACTCCCACACACCTGTGTGTGTGCCCTTCCTGCCCCTTTCTGATCACTGAGATGCTCCTCATCAGTGCTAAGTGCTCTGAAGGTCACAGGCTACGCAGCTCCCGACATCACTGAGGATCAGGCTTTGGCCTTGCTGCCACCTCCCTGTTCCCCTCGAGACCCCTGAAGTGACAGAACCTTGCAGCTCGCTCCTCGCCTCCCCCTCCTGCCTCCCACTTCCTTCTCTCACTCTCATTTATTTCAATTTGCTATGCTTTCTTTCCTGGCTTTCAGCATTAACTGGGCAGGGGGAGAGGAGGGTGGAGGGATGGTTTCACGGTGGAGAGGCGGGGAAAACCTTGTATGATGGTGGGTGAGGGTCTGCAGGTCAGATTGGAGGTTACGGGGAAATCAGTCAACTTTTTAGGCTGATTTTGGGTGTAACTTCCCATGATTCAGAAATAATGGAGGTCAGTGGATTGGCAAAGTGCTGTCAGGACCTCAGGATGCCCTCATAGTAACTTGGGCTGCTCTATTTCAGAGCCTATTCATGGGAGCCAGGGCAGTGTGTGCTCAGGTAGAGGAGGCAGTGGGGTATGGGCTGCACTGCTGGGTGAACGGTATATCTGTGAAATTCATCCTGAGTGCAGACTGAGTGTTTCTGTGGTTTGTGGCTAAAAGGGATGTGTGTCTGCTACAGCACTGCTCAGCCTCTCTGCTTCTTCTGCCCTTATCCTTGTGGCCCCAAAATGCTCCGCTTGCCAGGAATGTCCCCCACTCACTGCAGCCATCTGAGCAAACACTGGATCTGCACTCATCACCTCCTGCTTCCCTCCCTTTGACTGTGCTGTCACACACTGCCACACAGAAGCTTTTGTTCCAGGTGCTACGGCACTGCACATAATCCAGGTGACTTACAGAGCGATTCAGCTCTCCGGTCTTTCACAAACCCAGATCAGTGTACAAGCCCTACCCATTACAACTGAAATTCCCACACACGGCTCACGGTTTCTGTAGCACTCCCTTCCCTGAACCAGGCTGATGTGCCACGTTACTGCCATGTTAACCAAAAGCCCATTTCAGTGGCTTCTTGTCCTGTGTTCTCTGCAGATCCTCAGGGAGATGGTTTGCTGGGTCTGTTCTCTTTTATTCCCTACAAATCCCTCTACAATGGCTGTAAGAAATTCCTAGGCTAGCCAATTCCTTTGTGGGTTTTGTTTGTTCTTTGTACTTATTCAAGCTGAAGTCTAGAGAGGAGAAGCGGAGCAGATGCACTTGAAGGGCAGAGCTAAAAAGAGGACATTCCATGTTAGCATATAAAATCAAAATGTGAAACCATTAAAAAACATGGCAAACAGGTGACAAAAAATGTATATACTTACTGCCAACACGAGCTCCTATCTGACATGCTGAATTATAGCATGCATTTTTAATCCATCTTTGGAGCAGAGATTCTACCAACCTCTCTCTCTAGAAATACATCACATGCATTTTGGATACTGCTGCTGGTTGATATTATCAATACCCTCTTTTCCCCAAGAGCTTTCTTCAACAGTCATCACCCTGCATTGCAGGTTGTCCGACAGAAAATTGGAATGGTAATGAAGAATAAGAGGAGAGAAAGCAAAAAAGAATACTTCATACTCACATCATAACAAATCTCAAGAGAAGGGGATGGGAGATAATGTCACTGCCAGTTCAAAAGGTGGATACGAAAATATAATGAAGGTGCTTGTATTTCAACACGTTGTCCAGAAAGTGCACTAGCATCTGAAAGTATAAAAATACTCAGAACAATCTAGCATTTTCAGGACGTGTGTTTCTACCTGTTAAAGGGAAAGGCAAGAGAGAGAATCCAGTTGCTATGGAAATCAGGCCATCTCCATGGGAATTCAGAAAGTAGAGTATCCTCTTGGCCAGTAAATCAGACACTGAGCAGCCATTTCTGGTCCATGGCACTGAGCAAATCTAAGCTGCTCACAGGACAGTTTATTTCCTCAGCAGTGCTGCCCTATTTCAGTATCAATGAAATTGGTGAAAAAAGGTGAAATTAAGAATTTGTTCTGTGGAATATAGAGAAGGTTCAGGAGAGAGCTGATAACAACCTTTCAGTATCTAAAGGGGCAGACTACAGTAAAGAAGGGGACAGATTCTTTAGGGTCTGTTGTGATAGGACAAGGGATATGGGTTAATTTCCCCTAAATGGAAAGAGGGAAGATTTAGACTGGATATAAGGAAAAGAATTTGTACATTATGGCCAGTGAGGCTCTGGCACGAATTGCCCAGAGAGGTGGTGGTGCCCCATCTCTGGAGACAGCCAAGGTCAGGCTAAATGGGCTCTGAGCTGTGTGAGCTGATGGAGCTATGGGTGTCCCTGTTCATTGCAGGGACAGCTGGACCAAATGGCTTTTAAAGGATCCTTCCAACTCAAACAATTCCATGATTGTCTGATTCTCCTGCATGTTTCTGTGGAGGTGTGCCATGTGTCTTTGCTTTAGCTGCAGTTATTGGGATATAGATTTATGTGGCTGGAAAAAAAAATGGAACTCCTGGTTTTGCTTCTCAAAAAAAAAAAAAAGTTTTGTTCACATTAGTTGCTGTGGAATAACAAAGGATCAGGTAGGTGTGTAAGCAGGTAGTAAAAGGAAACAAAGGCCACATTAAAGAATATAAAAAGCTGATGTACAAACCCACACCTCGTTCAGGACTCCTTTCTTTGAGCTAATGGACAAATATTCATGGTGCCACTGGGGGGATCCAGTTCCCTTGCCATAGACAGCAGCCTCTAGCTCTGCTGCTCCTGGGTACCAGTGAATGCTTAGATGTTGAGGCCCCACAGAGGCCCCCCAGCACAGCTCTTCCAGACAGTGCCCTATGGCTAGGTTCACTCTGCTGTCACCTGATGGATGAGATTGAGAAGCTTTGAGACTTTTGAGATTTTTATGCTTTGCTACAGAGCTTTCTTCTGTTTCATCATTGCATTCAATCACTGGTGGGCAACTGGTCCCTAGAGCCCTGGAGGTTGGGTACTGCTGGAGTTGAAAGCTTTGGCATGAGTGTGCAGACGATGGAAAAGCAGGTGATGGATTTACAGTGCTGAAATCCTTGCTATGACTGCTATGCAAACACCATATATTATAGCTGTAAGTCCTGTATAAGCCAAGAAGATTAAAAAACACCTTGTAGAAGAGAGCCCCGGTCGGATATGCCTTTGTTCACGAGGACAGCTATGCAGTGCTACTAATGCATGGGTGTCATTTAGTGCAGGGGGAGTTAATGGGGCTTTATTTGAATATATCTCAGCCGTGTGAGTAAGGCTCACAGGCAGAAGTGTCTGTCTGGTGTACGTGTGTTGGAGGACACTGTCTGACATTGATGGAAAGCTGCTTGATAGAGTTTCATCTTTCAATTCATTTAGATTTTTAAAGCTCGGGTTAAGTTGCCCAACTTAATTTGCAATCATTTAAAGTAGGAGTTAAGTGAAGGTCACAGGCTGCTCTAAATTAGAGGGAAACCACTGTAGCACTTGCATGCTTTGACCTTTTCAGCGTTTTCTGACTCTGCTGACCAGCTGAGCTCTTTATAGCACTGTTAACCTGTGAGAAATGTGTGAAGTG